ACAACATTTACACCTCATATTGCTCACACATCCACATTTACATTACTGATGTTACTGACAAATTTCTTACCATCTCTTGTGTCCTCCGTATTTGTCATGGCCTAGGAGCTGGGTTATGACACTGTAAACTAAATTATATGACCATACTGTGATGAAACAAATCACCCTGAACCTTGTAAATGGCCAATGCTGATCGAGTTGACTGTTTGGGACTACTTTATATCATGAGATTATTACATATTTTAAAAAAAGAGTGTTAACGACCTCTAATCAGAGGAGGGCAGCCCACCTCTGTGAAAGAAAGAGTCTATGAAACCGCTGCATTCATTTTTAAATGTATACTGATCGAGACGCAAAAAATTCACAGGCATTTATGTTAGTTTGTGCTAACCCTCTACTTAATATTTTTGTATTTTTGTGCAATGGTTTGGACTGCAGTAGAACCACCGGACTACAATCTTTACCTTGATCTCACACATTAGCAGTTCCCACAGACAGACATACCAGACAATTAAAGCTACAACAAAGATACCAAACAGAAACGTTGACAAACAGCCATGAATGTCCTTTTAATGACTGTAAAAGCTTCAGCAGACTCACACACACGGAGACACTGACAGCAGCTCCTCATTAGCCCTGACTACCAGCTCACTGTTCCTGCAACCCTGCTATGAACACAGTCTGTCAATCACTCTAGTCAGCGTTGAAGCCACACCCCCAAAAGTCAAAGCACTTTTAGTCTCTGATGCATTGTTTTAATTTCCTGAGAGGAAGAGAGCTAGCAAAATTGAAGGGTGTAGTTATATTTTAAAAAAGCAACTTCTGTGTGAAAATGAAAACTGAGGACCAAATGATCTCACCTTGACCTCTGTTTTTTCTGCGCTCTCATCCAGTTCGTCCACTGCAGGATAATGTAACAACAAGCAGATTGCAGGATCAAACATAAATAGTTTTTGGTCAGTGAACTATTCTAGGTGAAGAAGATTTATTTGCATAAATGTGTATTCAAAAAGTTAATTGTTCAACAATATGCATTACAACAAAATGCAATACAACAATGAAAAGGAAATTAAGTATTTCTCACATTCTTTGGTCACTGTTGAAACAGTCTGACATGTTGGACCACCGTCCTTCACTGCACCACTCTCCTCCATAGACTGATCAGTCATATTACTGCTGCTTTCATTGCTGACCTCTTTAACTTCATCAGCCTCTCCTGCTGAAGGGTCAAAGCCATCAAACATTACATATTAGTTGAAACAAACGCTGAAGGGTGCCTTGTGCATCTGTATGAAATGTAGAGGGAGCGTGACAAAGCGTCGATATTCGATGACCCGGGATCGAGAATTCGCAAAGTAATATGGTATGGCAAAATGAACACAGGGGGCAAGGCAACAGTAGGGAGAATACTGTATGATTACATGTATGCAAGAACAACACACAAAATGTTGTTAAAGTTATTTATTTGTTTTTTCTGGGTCATAAAAGAAATTGAGTACTAACTTTCTAATGATGATGATGGAAATTTCTTTCCCCCAAAAAACATAATTGTAAGATATCATAATCATAAATAAATGGCTTGTAAAATTATTATATTGTATTACTATAAGAATTATAACACACTATGATCCTGGCAAAGAAATGTCATTGAGTGATCAGCAATTATGATGTATTATGATACTTGCCCTTATAAGTCATTATGAAATGCTTTATAATGTGTTGTATTGTTGTTATAAAGCATTGTGAATATTTATGAGTGCCTAAAACTATAAACATACATTGTTATGCTTAGTACAGTATAACACGTTATATTTATGTTTTTCACTCCATTTTATACATGGGCATTACGAAGATTTAACAAAGAAGTATTTGCCGATATGATGTGTGCATTCACTTTTCCACAAGATTGATCTCCTCTTCATTAAAACGTTACCTTTCTCCTTGGTTGCAGATGGCACAGACTTGTTTTCAGACTCTCCTCCTGTGTTGTCTACGTACTTCACTGAGTCTTGAACATCTCCAGGTTCATTCTCTGGATCACACTAAGAAAACAAATAAAGGAAATGAAAACAATAAGCACACTTCGGAGAAAAGAAAGTTAATTATTCTGCCAATGTATTTTTAACTCATCCATTTGTGGTTTTGAGCTGTAAACCAAATGATATGACTATACTATAGACACCTCAATGTGCTCCTTTTTAAATGTGTACTGAGTATTTTGCTAAATGTTATTGTAAATTAACAGTGCTTCACTGATTTTTCTGTTAACAATTTTTTGTTGTCATAATTTTAGCAATTGCACTGACATTTTTAATCTGTCCATCTGTCGTTATCTCTGTCTCTCTGTGTCTATGTCTTTCTCTCTCTCTCTCTTTCTCTCTCTGTCTGTCTGAGGATTCTGCTTCTTAAAAGGAAGTTTTTCCTTGCCGTCATCGCCAAGGTCTTGCTCATGGTGGGAACTGTTGGGTTTCTGTAAATAATGTTAGTTATTGAGTTCGGTCTAGACCTGCTCTATTTGAAAGTGTCATGAGATAACTTCTGTTATGAATTGGCGCTATACAAATGACTGAACTGAATTGAATCATGTTTCATCACAGAGCATTCAGATAAATGTGTCTTAAGTGTGTGTTTACTGAAGTAGGCTACTAATGGAAATTAATTTATAAATGTTATGTTTATGAAAGGGACAAGCATACAGTTCATCATCTGTTTTAAAATGCATTAACCCTTTATGGAATATCATTTATTTGAAGGAAAGAAATACAAAAATGCTATTGTCTAAGTCTGTACCATCATTTAGCTTTGCCAATGAAAACAATTGTCTCTAGTCATACAGACTCATTTAGTGTACAGTTGTAGTTGTAGTTTATTTTGAACAGTTTGTTTATATAGTTAATGGTAACTGTGGTTTATTGAGAAAACTGAATAAGATACATATACGGGAAAGAAATAGGAATTATTATAACTAATGTATCTATTCTATACGGCAACATGCAGATTGGTTTTTGATCCTGGACTACTACAGGTAGTTTTAGAAAACAAATGCCCCTCTTTGTAATGATCATTCATGAAAGTTTAAAAATAAATCTTACCTTTACTTTAATTTCTGTTTCATTCTCCTCCGACTCTTCTACTGCAGGATAATTTAAGAAAAAGCAGATTGTGCATTTTTATTAGCTAACCATCCTATGTTCATTACGTTTAGCAAATCTGTTCAATGTCTTTTCTTCTGAAAACGTTTTTACAGACACAATATCACCCCTGGCAGGTCAGAAAAAAACACTGATGATTCTCAATTTTTTTTTACAAATCTGTAGGTCTTTTCCACACCCCATGCATTTCTTGTTGCTCTCAAACAGAATTCAAATGCATAAGTACAGTGTATCTTCAAATGATCCAGTGATGCTTTGGATTACTACCACAATTACTGCACGTTGACCAGGCAGCTGGTACAGACACTACTCCGGAGGGAAATTTCTGGCTCTTTAGATGCTGCTGGTCCACTATGTTCACCAGCCAATCACTAACTGTGTCTGTCTGCTGTTTGGTGTTGAGCAGGAAGTGTACAGTGGGTTCTTTTTTTTTGAAAACAGCTGCCTTGTGCTGCGGAAGACCACACTGTGAGAGTGGGCAAGTGAACCAAAACAGCTGAGCTGAAACTCACTAGGAAGCTCTGTTCTCTCCACATTATCTTGTGTATCAAGTCATAGTGTCATCTTTGAATACCAACAATAAAATCTCACCTGTTTGATTTTGCTGGGACACAGAGGAATCAATCCTTTCTTCTTCGTGGGATTTGTGGTCTAGATGTTCTTCCTGCTCTTTATTTTTATTACACATCAGTCCAGTGTAGCAGTGTGGATCATTTTCAGAGACCATGACATCTATTTTTTCCAACAGAGCGATTATCTCTTTTTCATCCATCATACTTTTTGTACATGTTTGATATCTTTTTTCATCAAAACTGCTGTTGGCTTTCAGGTCTGTCAATGCACTTTCACATTTTTCATCTGACTCATGAGTCACAACTGTCATTAAATAGGCAACTGATCTTTTCCCAAAAGCTTTTTCTAACCACTGCACTCCTGAACTGTACTGGCTGTTATGCTGACCATTTGGTAACAGTAAGAGAAAGGCATGAATTCCCTGATTAAATGGGGATTTGTCAATGTTTTGTAGACCAAGCATGTTAATGACAGAGATGTGTCGACCACATAAATCATACAGTTTGGCTGAAAACTGTTCAATATTTGCTTGCTCGTCATGGTCAAGTAAGAGGTTTTTTGATCCAATCTCAGTGGAATTTGTGTCACCAATCAACACAAGTGTCACTGAAACAGAGAGTAACATCAATATGTTAAGTGCAGTAATGACTAAAACACAAAATGTTACAGAGTTTGTTAAAAATGCACTGACAAAATAAAAGTTAATAATTAGTGTAACACATTTAAAACTCAACTGAAATATAATATATACTGTAAAATCAATGTTACTGTACTATCAATTCTTGATTAAACTGTTACCTTTCTCACTGGTTGCAGATGGTACAGACTTGATTTCAGACTCTCCTCCTGTGCTTGCATCATTCTTCTCTGAGTATTGAGCTTCACCAGTTTCATTCACTGGATCAAACTGAGAGAACAGGTCATTTTAATTTTAGAATTAGTTCTCTAGGTTAGACCCACTGAGGTTATGATTGCAAACCCAAAACCAAGGAAACAGCATCAAGATAAATGTATATTGAAGATGAACGACAGTGTTGCATTAATACAATTAATAGCATATAAAATGAGAGCAATGTAAAGGAATATACATCACCAAATGCAAGTGAGACTGTTTCAAAGTAAAAAGAAGAGAAAAATTCACTCTTAACGGGTTAATCCAATGTCAAACCAGAGGACTGTTTCACAAAACCTAGATAGTGGATTAAGCTGATATTTTCCAGCTTTGAGCTACGTTCATTATTTTAACACTATAACCATTATTGTGTGTGTGTATATATATAGGCTATATATGATATTAAAAGCTTCAGGTAATGAATAATTAGTCGGTGTCAATTCACTTCAACCTTTCGTGACTTAAAAAAAATCAAAATTTGTTCTAAATTAACTTAAACATAACATAAGGCAACAAAACAATTTTTCTGAGTAACATATTAACCGCCACTGCTCACTTTTATGGCAAATGTACAACTGTTTTTGCAAAGGACAAGTAACACCTTGAGAGCAGTGGCTAGTAGCCAAAATATGTATTTTTAGACTTTTTACTTGAGCATTCAGTCAGTCTGCAATTGCCTGCCAGACTTCTTCTCTCTGTATTTTTTACAGCGACTAGGTTTCCTTTTTTACATTTAAAATGTTTTACATAAGTTTCCATTATGTAAAGTATATTAAATGCATCTTCTGCATTTCAAAATGAGTAAACTTAACTGACTTCGTGGTTTGCATCAGTAAGTCTGTGACTGACCTTGTCGTCTGTAGAAGACAGCCATGAACAAGCATTTATCAGACAGACTATACGGCTTTGCACTTCTGGTTAGATGCTTAACTTAAGGTCGTTGTCTGGTACTTGTACTTGTGCAATGACAATAAAGTTGAATCTAAAAAAAAATCTACCAAATAATTTAAATCGGCTTCACCTAACTGCGCCTCCTCAGCCTGTCAATTTTCATCACCTAAAATTTAAGAAGGCTTCTCTATGGCAAAACTCTCACACAACTTCAGAAAAGGAAAACTGTTAAATTACACAATAAAGCTGTAAGATCATAAAACTAATGTAGGTAAAAAAAAATATTTGCCTTTACCTGGGCTTTGGCTGCACTCTCCTGCATCTGATCTGCCATGTAAGAAAAAGAAATATATATATAAGATTAGCATGAAACATATTTGGTTTGCTTACCATCTTAGTTTATGAAATATCTTTTAAAAATGTTTAAAAGACCTTTGTCATCTGGTGTCACAGATTTAGTTTCAGACTCTCCTTCTCCAGCTGCTGTGTTGTCATTGTCGTCTGCCTCCATCTTTTCTGCTCTTCATCTTTACACAGTTGTAAGACAAAGTAATTCAGACAAATACAACGATCACTGCAAATGCACATTAAAATTTGAGAGACAAGGAAGATATGTTTTTAATTTAGCATTTCAAGAATAAAGTCGAAGTGTAATATATTACATGTCAAGAACAAAGACAGTAAATACTTAGACCACATGTAAACAGCATTATTCATTATTAGGGAGCTGAGTCCTACTCTCTGTCCTGCAGAGGAGAGGTGCGACCATAAATTACTGCAAAATGTGATAACACTAGGCACCATACCCTGTTTAGAACATTATAATTATTAATCAACGAAGGTCCCAACGCGGGCATATGAATATGGTAGTGGTTTTATCACAGCCGGCTCTAACCTCTCTGCAAAATTCTGGTAAGAGGCCCTCCCACCTAACCCGTAATACATGTAAACTATTTGCCACACAGTCACACCTGAATATCCCAGTGCTCCCACTACAGTCCTCCCTACTTTAAAACAGTTTGCTCTATCAGTCTGTCAGTCCAAGGATAAGTAGATCTATACAGAACAGAATGAGGTATAAACAAGCATTATTTAGTGAATTTAATATTTTATCTAGAATATTAAGTAAATATTTATTACATTAACATTGTAATGTAATATAATTAAAGCGGCAAACAGTATTGGGCGTGACCTCAGAGCGTGCTGCAGCCGTGTCAAAGCCGTCGTAACAGATGCAGACCACAACATGAAAATTTCACTTAAATCAGATCAAAATCACCATGCAGCACTTACTTCCAAAAATAACCACGAAATTAAAAATGGCCGACTTCCTGTTGGGTTTGGGTTATATGTCCAATGGCTTGTCCCATCATGATACACATGTGTACCAATTTTCATACATGCTGGTCCTACGTGTCTTGGGGCCTGATTCTGGGAGGTGTGGCTAAGCCATTTAGCGACGCCCATCCGTGGGACCAAGACAATACCTTTGTGTTCGCCACGACTAAATTTTGTGCAAAGTTTTATGAGTTTTCAGGCATGTTTAGCCACCCAGTAAGTGTTCAAATCAGATTTTTGCTACGTCGCCATGGCAACGTGGTTCCACGCAAATTCTCAGATTCATAGATGTCATCGTCATCTCCTAAGGGACCGCTGACGAATTTCAGCTGGATCTAGGTCAATCTTCTTGGGAGATATACATAAAAGAAAGAATATCAATTTCCTTTCAACCACTAGATGGTGCTCTCACTATCACTGAATATTATCACATAGGGCATGTTCAGCGGCAGGACTTCTTATCAGACAAAGTGAAATTTGAGCCGAATGGACAATGTACACTCAAGTTATAGCAAATTTGGTGTTTGTGGCGCTCTCACCATATCTGAATATTATCATCATAGATGTGTTCAGGGCAGGAACTCTAATCAAAACATGTGAAGTTTTGTTGCGATTCGGATCATGTACACGGACGTTATGACAAAATCCCTCTTTCATGGCGAAGTTGGAATTGGATCCCACGGGGACGCCCACGGGACGCCACGCCCACGCCTGTGTCGACGGAATGTCGTAAAAAGCACAAATCTTTAATCGTGAATGTTTGAAGTCGAATTCCCTAGGAGGACTTCGTCAAAATACAACGGTTGCAAATTGCCAAAAATGACCGCCTAAATCCAAAAATGGCCTAACTTCATGTTTAGTTTGAGGTATGCGGTCCAAGAGGCTTTTGCAAATTTCCCTGACTTTTCGAGCATGTTGCGGCCGCCAAATATGCAGTCTAGACGGAGAAAATAATTTCTTCCATTACAAATAGGGCCTTTGCATGGTCAGTGCTCGGGCCAATTTAAAGCTGCAAGCAGCGATGAACGGGCCCTCGCACTCCACGCAACTCGGGGTGTGCTGCGGCCGTGTGACGTGTCGGCGTAACACGTGTGGACCACAACATAAAAATTTTGCGTAAATCAGATCAAAATCGCCACGCAGCGCTTACTTCCTGTTACCAGTAGGTGGCGCTATCACTATATCTGACTATTGTCATGTAGACTTGTTCACGGCACGACTCTTATCAAACATGTTAAGTTTAATTGAAATTGGACCATTGTACGCTGAAGTAATGAGGAACGTGTTCAGGGTGGGACTGTTACAGAATATGTGAAGTTTAGTGGAGATTGGACATTGTACACTGAAGTTATGATTACTGTTTTGTGGCAAATCGTCGAAATTAGACGTAACGCCTCGGGCATGCAGTTCGACGTACAGTCACAAATAGCACAACTGTTAAGTGTTGTAATTTGATGGCGCCCTTACTCCCTGTATTATGGTAGACTGATTTGCTGTACTGCTGTATTGAAAGGGTTACGGTACGTACAAGACGTGACGTCACCACGCTCCCAGTGAGCGCTAGTTGTTGCTGTTGTATGTGAGCCATGCTGATGAGACGGCGGCACATCGGTCCGCACTTAACCGTTAAATAAATATGCCAAGAGGCTAAAAGTAAACTCGAGTATGTTCTACTTATCTTTCACAAGCAGAAGAAGAAGACTATGCGCTGCAGTATTCCCCCTTAACAACAACTGTTTATCTGCAGTTTGTTTTGACTGTACTGACCAATTTTGAAATTGATCCGATAAATTCCCTAGGAGGAGTTCATTTAAATACAGCGTGAATCGCTGAAAATGACTGACTTTGCAAGAGACAAAGGACTCCATTTTACACGCGGTTCAAAGATACTGCCCTTCATCCGGTTCACTTCTAGAAATTCTTTCACAAGTGAAGTTTTGTTAAATAAAATCTTCATGCTTCCTATATTTATTTACATTGTGTACTTTAAGTCTATACACAAAAGCACTGTTGTGTAACTCACCTTTTGTTACGCGTTTCCTTAGCTCTGCGTGGTCTGTGTAGATGTAAGGGTTCTCAGAAATCCTTCCTCTTCCCAAATAGATATATATAGAGAAATGCTTTCCTTGAAGTCACATGGTTTAGAGGAAATCGGGGCAGTTAAACTTTCACTTTTCTTTTTTTAATTAAGAGTAATGTGCATGCAGAGTTTCTCAGCCCAGCATCACATCACATCAGAAATGAGCACAAACCACTGACAACACTGAAGACTTGCAACAAAACTTGGCTTCTATAATAATAGACGTAATTTTAATGACCTCAGTGCCTTAACTAGACCAGGATTTTGGGCAACATATAGACCATATTTTAAAAAGATAATTAAATATTTATAATATAAGTAAATGTTTAATATAAACACTGCACTCTCCTTGTTTGCAGTATGGTGGCGTTTTTTTTTTTTAGTTTTATTCATTTTCTTTTTTCAAGCTTCATTTCAAGGGATACAAGGAGAGTAAGAGGAAAAACCAAGTAAAGGAGATGTTGGACAAGTATTTATTCGCATAAATGCAGTTCTGATTTAGCAATGTATCTAGCAGCAATTTATGTGATGTGGTAAGGCTTTTCTTGTTCCTTGAACAGAGCAAGTGAAAGTCACAGTTGAACTATGATAATAATATATACCGTGTATGAAGCAAACGATGCACCTCTGTCATTCTGTACATTTCACAGAACAAAGGCTGGATTCTAAAGCCCTTGAAAAGGGATTTGTTCAGTTCTGTTTGATTGTGTAACACACTTGTTTGCAGTCTTTCAGCTTTACATTTTTTGTTTAATCACCAGGTGACCTGAGCCATCATGATGACAACTTTATGGCAACAACCAAAGGTTCAACACTTCCTAAGGCTTTATAAAACTCTTTATGTTATGGCTGATCGGTGTCATCATAGTTCTTCACCTGTTACAAATGATGGATAGGTATACAAGTTATTTACAAAGCTTTCTGCAACCCCCTACTCTAAAGTGTAAACTATTCATTAATGTAAGATTGCTCACCTGATACAAAGGTACGGAAGCATATTGCATTGACTTGAAAATTAACAAAATACCTCCAGCACACTCTCAATGTCCAGGGCTAGCTCTCAGCCCCCCTGAGCCTAACCCAAATCCTGTATCTAGCCTCAAGCAAATTCCAGCAGGCTCATGCAGGGCTCAGTGTCGCCTATCCTTCAATCCCTGGTACCCTGCTGGAGACACCAACAGGGCAAAGTAATATTTTCACGCTTACATTATGCATATTCTTAACATTTATTCAATCAAATTATCACACCTTAGTCATTGCTCTAAGGTCCAGTATGTAGCATTTAGGAGGATCTATTGGCAGAAATGCAATATAATGTTCATAGGTATATTTTATTTTTATAGGTGTATAATCACTAGAATATAGGAATCATGTTTTTTTTCTTTTTATCTACAAACACGTTGGTTACCTTCCATGGAGTCCGCCACGTTGAACCGCCAAGTTTCTACATTAGACCAGAACAGACAGAGTGGCTATAGATTCAACCTTTCATGTTTTTTGTGAGTTCAGTGGCCTCCATAGTTTCTCACAGCCCCATCTCATTGCCAGGTCATCAATTACAGATGTGAGCGGTGCTCAGTTAGTTGAAATCTGCAACTTCACTGCTAGAGACCACTAAATCCTACACACTGATTATTTAAAATCCCAGAGAAAAACAAAAGTCAAACTGATAGCTGAGGTAAATCAATCTATACAAATTAAAATTTCCACATCCACTTCATCACTCATCCTATCCATCAGTTATATTACATAAATTCTTTCAAAACCCCTCAAAACAGTTTGCAAAAAATAAAGTTACACAGATAATATACAACCTTTATCAAAACAACAAGAGTTGTGTTGGCTGTAATGTTGCATTTTAATGTCCTGTATTATATAAAAAAAGTTAAAAAAAATAAACCAATCAACTATGGCTGCCACATTCGTCTTATTTAACGAATCTTAGCAAAAAATGATGATGACCAATTCTGATCTGTTGCATACTTTTTAAATCATCCTTTAATGGCTAATATACACATAATCTATACACATATGCCATATTCTGCCTCGCTTTAGGGCCATTTTCAGAAATCCTTAATGTTACACTGCAACTCATTCTCTCTATATAATGCAATTAAAATATGTAGTGATCAAATATAAATAAATGCAGGTTCACTGATTTTGGAAAGGCTTTATCCTCAATATTACTCCTTCAGTAAATGCTGGTTTAGTTGTTTCTGGCTCAGTCTGGATGAAATGTACACTCGATAGGAGTGTACAGACTTTCAATAACTTCTTGTTTACTGTGGTTTCTTCATTCACTGGGAATTTCTCCTCTGCCATGAATTTTAATTTATAGTAATCTTCAAGTTGCTTTTGAAATAAACATACATTTCCAGTAGCTCAACTTAGACTCATCAGGAGTAATCTTCCATGTAGCATACATCTCCCCAGGCTTTTAATATTGTTTAAAAGGACTATTCTCCTTTGAATTATATTCACCACTTGCAACTAAGGTCATGCAGAAATTGATGACAAGTTCACCTGTTTCTCTATAGTGCCATCCTTGAATGGAGCTGAAAAGGGACATTGTGTTTGTCAGGAATATGATCTCGGTTTTGGTACAAACAGCTGCACAGAATGGACACGTTGCGCTTCCTCTGCCAGTGACTTCAATGTGTTTCTCTAAGTTCAACCTGTTCCCATTGAATGCTGGGAAACTGCCCTTCATCTCTCCAGCGAGATCAATGGCAGTCTTGTTACAGACAATCTCAACAGTTGAACTCAACAGCAGACAAGTTTATTTTGCAGAAGCTTCTGAAAATGTTGTAATATTGTTTTTTCTTGCTTTCTAAATTAATTTTGAATTTCCTGTGGGACTCTGAAAGACTACCTGCTCTGTAAAATACATACAGTAAGAGATCAACTGTAAACTCCTTCTTCAGAGCATATTTCTTCTTTGTTTCAAATCCTGTCACCTTTTCTTTTACATCTTTGGCCACTTCTTGCAAGTAAGTTTGACTTCAACCTCTTGTAGCTACAGGATTACTCCTAATTGCATCAAGGGACTTGTTATTTCATTTTTCATCATCAATAAGGGATCAGATCAGTTGCTGTTCTTCATGCTGAAAATACTCCTTCAAACAATATGTTTTTGTAATTTTTTGTGAAAACAAAATCAATCTTTTGACTCTAAATTAGCACCATTAAGCTACTGTGTATGAACTCAGTGTTGGCTCTAATCTACATCACCTGTGGTTTAGAAACAGATGGCTGAAGAGTCCCAATACACACCAGCTCAGCAATATTTGTGCCCACTGATTGGTTAGTGACTTCAGAGGTAGGAGGAGTTATTTTTTGACCACGGCCAGTCTTTTTG